CCCCCTCCCCCACAGATCCACACAGTATATTTTGAAATATCATGAGTTTGCACACCCAACAGGTAACAAAATGTTATGTAGTTATAGTTTTGATTTGCAGTTTTCTTGTATGGGTGATATTAGAAGCTTTTCTTATAATAAAGGTCCATTTTTTTTTCTATGATCTATTTGCCCACATTCTTTGCACATTTTTCTAAGGGGTTTTGGGCTTTTTCTTGCAGAACCAAAGGTTATTAAGAAAGTTAGTGATATGAAGTGCAATATTTCTCCAGTCTGTCATTTGTCTCTGGGTTTTATGGTATGCAATAACAAAAAAAAAATTTTTTTATGTAGTTGAATTTAACTTTTCCTTTCTTTTTTTTCTTCTAGATTTTTGTGTTATGCTTAGAAAGGATATTTCACTCTGAGATTTTTTTTTAAGTACCATGCTTTTTTCCTAGTACTTTACATTGTTTCACTTTTCATGTTAAAATCCTTGATTTATCTAGACTGTTTGGGGACATGCAGTGAGAAATGTGGATCTAATGCTATATTGCACCAGTGCTAGTTACTGAATAATCCATCTTTTCCTACTGATCAGGAATGCTCTGTTACTATCCACCAAATTCCAATTCCTAGCCTACTGGTGGTGCTTTTACTTTGTTCCATTGGTCTTCTTGCCTGTGTATTATTAGTATAACACTGTTTAAGCTACTGTAGTTTTACAGGGCAACTTTTCAGAGGGAATTGTACCTGGTTCTGAAGAGCCCCTGACACCCTTTGTAAAGCCCAGAAAGCCCCAGCTGAGCTTTGAGCAATAGGAAGCATTCATCCATTTTTTTTAATGTAAATTTATTTTTCTAGCCAGGCTAATTCACTCATCGCTCTTTTCTTTTTTTCCTTCGGATTTTTCCTAATTAGTCTTGACCACTGATTTTTCTGTATGAGTAGTTTATTTCACAAAGAAATCCTACTGATATTTTTATTGCAATTATGTTAATTGTATAGATTATTTTGAGAACTGACATCATTATAATGTTGTGTTTCCTATTCAAGAACTTGGTGTTTTGAACTCTTTTGATTTTTTTAAAAAACTTATTTACGTATGCCTTGTGGGGCTCCTGCTCATTCCACAAAGAAAGCCTCTTTAAAGGGTCCTATGTTCTCAGTGATGTGATGCCCGCACTCTCACTGGCTTGGCCAGGCAGTCCTCAGCCCGGGATGCCGCGTCTCATCTCCGTGTCTCTGTTTCTCAGTGATCGAGTGGACTCTCCAGGAAGCTTCCAACGAGACCCAGGCCAGGCCTCTCCTGGGGCACCTGCTGAGTGACCACACGGAGGGGAGGAACGGCACCAACCCCACGAGGGCCCTGAAGCTGCCAGACGGCACGAGCGCCGCCTGGTACATCCTCACCATCTTAGGCATCTACGGGGTGATTTTCCTCTTCCGGCTGGCCAGCAACATTCTCAGAAAGAATGATAAGTCCTTGGAAGACATGTATTACTCAAATCTGACCTTCGAACTCAAAAAGAAAGGGCTCCAGAGCAAGGCAGCCAAATGCTCCACACTGACCATTAGCAACAGAGCTGTCCTGCAGCCCAACCAGGCCAGCCCGGGGCCAAAGTGTGGGCACAGCGGGCCCCACGCCGGAACCCAAGGGATTCCTTGAAAGTCAGGCAAGCGGGCCTCCCCGATGGCAGAGCCGGCAGCTTTGGGTTTACCTAGAACAGTGAGAGAGGTGCCAGCCCTTTGCGTGGGCGGGGGCGTGGCTGAGAGGGGGCACTTCCGGCTGATGGGGGCATGACCGGAAGCTGGGGGACCGTTTCTTTCTCGGGCTCTCTCCCGGCTGCAAGAAGAGAGCGTGGGGCAGGGCTTCCAGCTGCGCTGGCCCTTCCCTGGCAAAGCCCGTGCCCCAGGGGAGAGTGAGGGCACCCAGTGCTCTGGGAGGAATCTGGGAGGCTCTTGGGTGAATACAAGGAGGCGGCTCCTTGTCACGGAAAGAAGGCTGAAATTGGAGACAAACGCCCCGGATTAAAATTCAACCCCTTGGGTCAGAAACGTTGAGAGGCCATGGCTCACCTGGAAGGTGTCGGGGCTGGGACTGATGGTCCCAAAGGAGATTCTGTCCCCATTTAACCCTCAACCACTGACTCTGTCGATGAACTGTCATGGAAACCCCAAGGAGGGCCTGTCATGTTAGACGGTGGTCAAGAACTGGCTCCAAAGGTACTTCCTGAGGAGTTAAAGTCGCCATCATCCCGTTGGCACCCAGACACAGTTACATGAGATCTAAGGACGTTTCCCAGCCACCCTGTGCCACTTCATGCAAATCATCCACTTCCTGGGGAGCTGGCCTTGAGATGTGTTCTTGGATGGGGATTAGATCTGTGTAGGCTCCATTTTAAGCAATGCTGGTGGAAAATAATCCAAAGTATAATGGATATTTTGTGCAGAATCCCTTAATTCTAAAATGCTCAGGGCCAGAGCCTTTGGTCACTGTCTTGATGAAGCCCATATGCTTGGGAAGATGTGAGCAGCACAGCATTAGTGCTCAACGCAGAGTGTGGGAAGAGATTTGCACACCCCGCCAGCCCTGGTGAAGACGGGAACAGAGCACACTGATTCCCAGCATTCCAGATACCTTGCTGCTTTTTGTCCCTGTAGTGAGTTTCCTTCAATATTGAAGGGATCAGGACAGATAAAGGCCTTCGTTTGAAGTGAAAATTATTTAAAATCAATGTAGAATGGATCCAAAGATGCCTTCCTCTGGGTGTTTGTGATTAATGGTATCAGGGCTTGTACCAAAGCAAATCAAGTTTACTAGAGCTTCCCCAGAGGATTGGAACACATCTATTCTAAGTAATATTCTAATCAATTCAGTTGCATTATGATTTGATTTTCTGGTGTGATATAATTATCACAGTTAGAAAAAGAATTTTAAAAAAGAATTTAGAGATGAAACATGTCAGTATTTATACAACTCAACTCTTCCCACAGTAGTAGGTGCACTCCGATGCTCGTAACTGATCCTGACTGTCTAGACTTCTACTGGAGCAGAAGTATGCCAACTGACTCTTCAAATAAATTTAGAGTTCTTCTGTTGGCAACGACAGAAAACAACTCTACGTAACTCATGTGATATATATGTTGCTAGTGGGCAGCGTGCAGGGGAGTCAGGGCATTGGGCATGTGCTACGGAGTGAGTGTTTGTGTCCCCGCAAATCAATATGTTGAAGCCCTAATCCCCAATGTGATGTACTGGGAGGTGATACTTTTGGAAGGTGATTAGGTTTAGGTGAGGTTGTGAGGGTAGAGCCTCTATGATGGGATTAATGCCCTTATGAGGAGAGGCTCTTGAGTGCTCGCTTTCTCTACTACGTGAGGACACAGCCAAAAGACAGCTGTCTAATAACCAGGGAGCAGGTCCTCACTAGGCACTGAATCTGCTGACACCTTGATCTCTGACTTCCAGCTTCCAGAACTGTGAGAAATAAATGTTCGTTGTTTAAGCCACCCAGTCTGCTGTATTTTGTTATAGCGGCCCAAGCTAACATAGAGTATACAAGAAGAAAAAGCATGTGACACTTGTTAAAAGTGGCAGGACAGATTATTCAGACTCCTGCAACAGGGGACGGAGACTCCAGTCCAGACTAAGCCCACCTCTAACTAAGCCAAAGGTGACTGAGGTTTTAAAGGGAGAAGAGAGGGAACAAAAAGGGACTCCGAGGAAGTGGAAAAGAGAACTAAAAGGGACTAGTGGCTGTGTGGAAATGAAGGTTATAGAGGGGTAAGAGAAGAATTACTGGGAATGGTTTGGCAAGGGGAGTTGGGACATGTACATTTGGTGGTTTGGCAGTATTGTGTTGTTTTGAGCAAAGACTCAGCACAGGGCTGGAGTTGCCCTTAGGGACACAGCCCAGTGCAGGAGGAAGCTGGTCTGAAGTGTGGTCACTTGACCACTGTCAGTGCAGGTTTCGGGCACATTCTCTGTGCCTGTGGGAGTTCCCAGTTCACAAGCAGCCTCACTGTCAGGGCAGAGCCTGGCCTTGGCAGTGCACTGTCCATGTCAGACAGGCACGTGGTGATGTTGGGGCATTGGGAGCCTGCTGGAGACAAGGCAGTGTGCAGCCAGGGCATATGGGAGCCGTATGGACAGTGGAGGTAGCTGTCCTGCACCTGCTCACCAGCCTTGGCACTCTTGTGCCCCAGAGGGCCGTTCCTGCTGCCCCTTGACTGTGGACCACTTCTGGGTACCTAGGCTACATTTAGAGTTCTCTTTGCATCATTATGGTGTGTTCCCTGCCATAGTTTAATAATTCTTTACATTCAACTTCTGCTGCTCACTGTGTAATTTGTGTCTCCTGATTTCACCCAGATTGACCCACAGTGTTACCTGCAGAAAGAAAGAGTTCGAGGCCAAGCAAGCTTGGGCAATGGTAGGCAAAATGAAATTCAACAGGCTTCTAGACCACAAGGTTACTGGGAGTCTTTGATATCACCTGCACCATTACCCAAACCAGGAAGATCAGGGCACTTTTTTTTCACAGGGCATCACAAGGGGTAAGTGCTCAGCTTGGCACATGCCCACCATGACAAAACATTAGTCACAGAAACCAAGAGACAGAGCCTGTATGTCTATAAGCTTTTCACTTCTTTCTTATTTAGTAAAACTCTAGACATGTCAACCAATAAACTAATATTTACTGAACACCTAGTTTGTGCTACATACCACGGACAGTGAAAGCATAAGACAACTTCCCTGCCTCTGAGTAGCTTATGATCTGGAGGATATAAATTATACAATACTAAATACAATTACAAGTATTAGGTAAGAGACACCATAAGAGAGTATATAATTAATTTAAAAAATGGGTTCATGGTGAGTGCTCAGAGATCTTCAGGGGCATGAGCCACATTATCACCCATTTTCTATTTCCCTCCTGCTGTGGACTGAATGTTTATGTCCCCCCCAAATTCATATGTTGAAGCCCTAACCCCCAATGTCACCAAATTTGTAGATAGGACCTATAAAGAGGTAATTAAGGTTAACTGAGGGGGCCGGCCCGTGGCTCACTCGGGAGAGTGCGGTGCTGAGAACACCAAGGCCGCGGGCTCGGATCCCATATAGGGATGGCCGGTTAGCTCACTGGTGAGCGTGGTGCTGACAACACCAAGCCAAGGGTTGAGATCCCCTTACCGGTCATCTTTTAAAAAAAAAAAAAAAAGGTTAACTGAGGTCATAAGGGTGGCTCCCAAATCCAATAGGACCTTTGTCCTTGTAAGAAGAGATATCAGAGAGCTCTCTACACACCCCACCACCACCACCACATGAGGACACAGCAACATGGCAGCCATCTGCAAGACAGGAAGAGAGCCCTCACCAGGAACTGAATAGGCCAGCACCTTGATCTTGGACATCTAGCCTCCAGAACTGTGAGAAAGTAAATTTCTGTTATTTAAGCCACCCAGTCTATGGTATTTTGTTATGGTAGCTTGAGCTGACTGAGACACTTCCCTTCTTTTCTGCTCTGTCTTTGCAGGGTAAGTCCCTGGGATGGCCTTGGTGACCCAGCTCTTTCCTCTTTCTCACTTGTAGTTCTCAGAATAACTGTAGAATGTCCTGGGAATGCAACATCCCAAGAAAAGGAGGAGCTGGCCAGAACAGACTGGGCTCTATTCTCTTCCTTCCTAGAACAGGATGTCCTACCATGCGTTAGCGCAGCGATTCTAGTCACCCCCAGGTATAAAACCCAGGATGGAGTGTGCTTTGGGGACCCCCAGCTGTGGTGTGACAGGGGGCACTCACAGGTGTGACTTCATCCACCCTGGGCAGCTTTCCCAGCCCTGGGAGACCGGCTCACCATGGGTCCTAGGCTTCTGTTGCCTCTTGCTGCCTGTCTGAGATCAATACAGTTGCTCTGCTTAACTCTTTGCACGAGTGTTCTGTCTCTCCGGACTCCTGCAAGTGGAGTGACACCGATACCTGGTGAGCCTTCTTCACAGTCTTCACCTCTTCTTGTAGCAGCCTTATTAAAGTAACACTTAATGATGGCACTTTATGATGATATAAAGGAGGGCTTCAGGAGAAGGACTGCTCCTTCCAGAGACCAGCAATGTCTCAGAGAGGCTGCTGCAGCAGCCTGGGTGTCAGAGCACAGTCCCCACTGACATGCTGTGCACATGGCATGAGAATAATAAACCTAGCTGTTTGCAGCTGCTGAGATGTAGCATAACTATTTTTCACTGCTAACCTAGCCCACCCTGACTCATGCAAAGTTCTGGGTTGTACAGAAGAGGAAGGGAGGATCCTGGTCCCTGTGCTTTAACAAAGCGGTGGTCTAGCTAAATCCATCTACCTAGGGAATAAGAAGGGGGAGGTGTGGCTTGCCACACCCCAGACAACTGCTTGAGAAGTCAGGACAGCAGGCCAGGAGTGATGTCTTGGCCATCCTTCTCTGTGAGGGTCTGGAAGCCACATAGGAAGTGACAGAGCTGGGACAGACATTGGTCTTTTGATTCCAAGTCCAGCACTGAGCAGCAGGCTGCCAGCGCCCCATGTCCCCAGACAAATAGCCTTCCCCTTCCTCAACTTGAAGGAAAAGGAAAGTATTTTTTGTATGAATACTTAATGGAAACATCACTTGGGCTTTGTAATCTGATAGATCTAGC